CATGGACTAACTGTGATATTGTGATTCTTCATCCGAACCAATGTGTAAACACCCTATGGGGTTTGTAAAAGCGAAGTCTTTGTGAGTTATATCCCATAATAAAAATTTGAATTTGAATTTGCATTGTGAGCTGAAATGCAATGGTTTTTCTGATTAGCTTATATTAAGACACAGTCCCCATGTGTAGACGGTAATCTCGGTTAGATCAGCAGAAAATCTCACATTCAAACGTGAAGCACCATTATCTAGGGATGATGACGTAAGTCAACTGTTACCTAATCGGTTTAATGCAGCCGCTGCATGCAATTTGCTTACTGCCTTCCTAGTCTTGTATGAAAGCATAATCCGTTTACTAAGGCCAACGATCAAAACTTGTCTTTCGCATCTCAGTCACTACCTATCAATTCAGAAATGAACCCAGAGTAACAAAATAGACATAAAGGAACGAAGGTCATTTACGCAATCGAGCGACCGAGTACGTTCGGAAATGGGTTCAACGCCCAACCAGCACGATGAATGTTACGCAGTCACAGCCAAACTGAAGTCCAATGTGCAAAACTCGTGCGTCATCCTTATTTCGAGGTATTTTTTCGGCCACAAACTTCCAGATCGATCGGAATTAATCATTCAGAATTATGTATTCAAACAGAAGATCACGGTTTGCGAGCAATGGGAAACCCATCCTGTGTCAACAGAAGGAACTGTGATACCTTGACTCTACACTGCTAATGTGTTATTCTGTTTTTTGCACCCCTTTATTATGAAGCAGTGTACCACGGTAAGTATATTCTTCTTTTCAGTAAGCACCTCATTTTCGATGCAGCGAAATGATTCAGAAAATACTACGCCCAACTTTCTTGTTTGCACCCGGAAAATGCCGTTTGCAACCAAAAGTACTATGCATCACTCAAGCCAAGCATGCTACTTTAAATAGGTGCAAATGCAATTAACACAAAGGATGCTATATTGTGGTAAGGTGATGACCAGTGTTGTCGATTGTAATATTACTTAAATTTGATAAATTAACGTCATTACCGATTGTTGTCTGTTTCAACTCCCTCTCTCGTTTGTTCTATACTTGTGCCGTGTTCATAGATCATGTGAATAAAAAAATCACTTCTGCAGCTCCATGTTCCTCAAAGTGAAAAGAAGCTTGGTTCATTGTTTAGCATAAAAAAGAAAATAGGTTTGCAGCGAAGACACTATAGGAGAGGAGCTCCGGATCATAAGAACTATCCTCGTCAGCAGCGAGTATCCGGAATGTCTAGTTGAAAAAAGAACGATTCCATCGGTTGAATATAGCTTGAAGAAGCCCTAAGTTTCGTTAAGTTGCAATGCTTTACCATCAAAAGGGAATATGTCAGCAGAGGTAATTCAAAAGGGATTACACGATGTCAGATCTCCAGCTTGGCCAAACCCACTGTGCGTTTGTACAACGGAAAGATAAAATGACCGACTTTACCGCCTGATTTCGCGTTTTCCGGTAGAACAACGTCAATAGACCGCAAGGTCAGCGGATGATGCTAACGGATCCGTGCTCATCAAACCGAGTGGTCACACACTGCAACGACTAAGTCGTTCATAAGTGCAGTAAATTTTATACCCAACCGCAACATACAAATTGAGAATAAGACGATTATTCTGCACTTCGGATGGCAGTAGAACATGGCCAAGCGGGGCTTCTACTTATCTGATGGTTGGAATAGACGGGAGCCAGCATTTGATGGACTGTCCTGATTCAGTGGGTATTTCGTTCAAGCACACGCAACCCCAATAGTCCTCTGTACGATGTCGCCACGTTTAAAGTGAAGACCGACAAGTAGTGTGTTCGGGGTCACTGATAGCTCTCTGTGGTTGGCGAGGCATTGGACCGTATGCGCCTAACCACTAGCGTTAAATATCTGATCATATTTATCCTTTTATTTTGCGGGTGAAACTGTTCTCTGCAGTTCAATCAGCCACGTTTTATAGCAACCTTGTTACTGCTTCAGAGCATCCACCTAACTCGGGGACATCAAGATCAAAAATGAATCGTGTGTCTGGATGCCCGTCATTAAGGCTCTTTACAGTTTCATTGAAACCATTTTCTACTCAACCTCAATGGCTTAAGATTGCCTGAAATAACTGTTTCAAATTAAAATCGTGAGTTTTTTTAGATACTTGGCAAATGAGCTATTCACTCACCAGGATAAAGTAATTGAATCATCGCTCAGAGATAATTATTTTTCTTTACCATTCTGAAACGACATTTTTTCGACTTATTGTGTGCGGACAAAACTCATAANATAAGCTCCGTTCTCACTTGACCAGAACTAACCAAGAGGACAGACTTCATATTCATTTTCAACCAATTCATTATGTAAGACTTGCTTGATCATTCACAGTTGGATATTAGGGTTTTGAATGGCGGCACAAACGCACGATTGAGAACCAATTCACTTGTTCTACCCCACATCAGTCACATTTTTAGATGCACAGGGCACTTATTTAAGGTGATGAAAATGACGCAAGCTGATCACGGTTCTTTGTATAATTTTTTAATGCGGAAATGAACGTCATGCTCGTTTCATTGAATTCGAATAAGTTGTCGCTCATTGCTTCCTTACAAATGAAAATATTTATCAAGTTGTATTTTTTTCTCCATTTTGAATAGCCATTTTTCAAAATGTATCTGAACGTACAGTCCTCAGTTGATCCAGTGAACTACCAAAAGTTATTTTCTCACAAGAGTTGAACTATGGCAAATATGTAGCGGTCTATTCAGGGTTTGAATCCTGGATTCCTGAAATATACTTCCTACGTACAACCACTTAACCAACCAGTTTGCCCCCCCCCTCCGCTTCATGTGGCCCGCCAGACCAAACACGGTTAAGGCACTTAGATTTCGTCATACGTCTTTATCTTTAACGCCTGATAGAAATCCAGAAGCAAATTAATACACAGCATAATCAGGACGACAAAAACTCAAGGTAACTCACTGAGACTGCTACATCTCGAAATGAATCATGGATTGACTTAGATTTTCCACGATTTTTATTTGATATGATTGGTTTATTTCATTGTACCACACACCTGGGCAAAGTTCTTTGGGCAAATTTCCCAGTCCGAGGAAGATTGAATCAAAACACGGGGCATCGATCTGACACTCGTTTGACGAGTTTATTGCAATTTGAATAAAATTAATGAAAATATGTCAACCATAATCCGGTTAAAATGATTACACGGAAACTGGTGTTCTCGATATCATGCGATTATTTGTCTGCGTACTTCTCAAGACGGGCAGTGACTCGGTTCAATACTATAACAAAACGATTATCAACTCAGTATATCTAAACAACTTACAAATAACGACCACATCAGTCATCTTCTCTCCGAGGTCGTCTTTGGCGAGGTAGGTCATCACTTGTTCACGCATCTTCTCATACGCTTTCATCACAGCTTCTTTCAGGGCTTTCACCATCTTTGCACCGCTTTCACGCTAAAAAAATAATTGAACGAAAGAAGTGAAGTGGTTTAACCACCCCGGACGGTTTTGTCACAACTTACCAACTTTTGTCGGCTCTCCTCACTTGGTTTTGCCCTGAAGGAGAAATGGGATGATCTACACGGGTTGAATCCCAGACTTACTCAGCATAGGCAGCGAAAAGAACGACAGCAAGACAGACAAGAACAATGGCTCGCATGATTCTGAGGGGAGATAAAA